TTGAAACTTCTTGTAAGTCCTCCTGCAGTTCTATTCCCATCTTTCATCTATAGGTAACTATTGTCCTGAATTTGATAGATTAAAAAAATCTGTCAATTTATAAAATGATGTTTTCAAAATGTCTTTTTTGAATAGATAGAATGCAGTAAGATGAGTACTTTGATTCACTGTCAGTGAAAGAAGTTGAAGCTAGGAAGCACCTTGCTCTGTCTTGCTGTCTGTTTCTGAATCTTGTGTTCTTTGACATCCTAAGGGTTCCTGGTACAGACATCTTTGTGCTAGGGTCAGACCAAGTGGTACTTATATCAGCTTACAGTACTTAATCAGCTTAGAGTTTGCTTCATAAACAATACAAGCATGTTATCCAGTGAAGCAGATTTAAATTAATTTTGACAGTTATATACTTGATGTTGAACTCTTGTGTTTGATATTTCTAGAGTAGTATTCTTAAATCAGGGGACCAAATAGTAGAGTTTGAATGTTGGAATTAACCAGGCAATAATAGTTCTAGTTCTAATATTTATATCACTTAATTGCTGTGTAATTTTTGTTTTTTTTTAACCTCTTTCCAGAACTTCACTGTCATAGTCCATAAGGGGATCTCCTATAGCTTAAAAATACTTCTAAAGACATAAAAAATGTTATGGTCTTTAAGGAATTGCCTGCAGTTGCATTGTCTGACACAGTAGCCACTGACCACATGGAGTCTTGAACTGTGGCTAAACTCATTTGTGCTATAAGTGTAAAATGCATACTGAGTTTTTAGCACTTAAATAGAACAAAAGAATGATTAAATCTCATTAATTTTTGGATATCATTCCAAGTTAAAATGATAAAATTTTGGATGTATTGGGTTAAATATGTTAATTTCATCTTTCTTTCCTTTTTTTGATACCAGGGATTAAACCCAGGGCCACTTAACCGTGGAGCCACATCTCTAGCCCTTTGTATTCATTTATTTATTACTATTTTTTATTCTTTTATTTGTTTTCATTTTTATGTGGTACCAGGGATCAAACCCAGTGTCTCATGTATGCTAGGCTAGTACGTGCTATACCATTGAGCCACACCCTAGCACCCCCTTTCTATTTATTTTATTTATTTATTTTTTTGGTGGTGCTGGGAATTGAACCCATAGTCTTATGCATGTGAGGCAAGCACTGTACCAACTGAGCTATATCCCCAGTCCTCCCCTTTTTATTTTTAAAAAATACTTTTTAGTTGTAGATGGACACAATACCTTTATTTTATTTTTTTTTTTGGTAATATTTATTTTTAATTGTAGTTGGACACAATACTTTTATTTTTTTAATATATATTTTTTTAGTTGTAGTTGGACAGAATACTTTTATTTCATTTATTTTTATGTGGTGCTGAGGATCGAACCCAGTACCTCACAGGTGCTGGGCGAGCACTCTACTGCTGAGCCACAACCCTAGCTCTTGTTTTTTATTTTGAGACAGGGTCACACTAAGTTGCTGAGGCTGGCTTTGAACTAGTGATCCTCTTGCTCCAGCCTCCCCAGTTGCTGGGATTACAGGTGTGTACCACCTCTCCTGGCTTCTTTCCACTTTTAAAAATATAACTACTAGAAGATTTAAAGTTACATGTATGGTTCACATGGCATTTCTATCACAGAGCTCTGGTTTGCAAGGTCTGGAATGTCTGGAAGGTCAACTGCCATTGTATGATAACTTGATCATTCAAACCTTTTATTTGCTCTGATAAATAAAAATTCACAATTTCAGAAGATAGAAAATAAATTCTGTCAATTGGAAGCTTAAAAAATTTCTAAATTAAATTAGTAAACTGTGTTTTAACATTAGTTATAGTATTCTAAGTGTGGCATCTATAGCTGAGCCTACTTTTTTGATGTTAATTTCCTCAAGAATTCATTCAAAATAGTTTTGACGTTGTCACTGCCTTTGCTGTTTTTGAAGTGAGAATTTCAGTTTCCAGAATTGTGTTTGAAACAGCTTAAAGTTGGTCATTGTTTTTTTTTTAAGTATTTTTTTGTAGTTGTAATTAATTTTTTATGTAGTACTAAGGATCGAACCCAAGGCCTTGCACGTGCGAGGCGAGCACTCTACTGCTGAGCCATAACCCCAGCCCCAAGTTGGTAGTTGTTTTTATTCCTCATGGGATAAGTGTTAGAATTTGGACTCTGAATCAGATAAATTTCAGGTATGTTCAATGTTATTTTACAGGACATAGATATAAGTTTTAAGCACCTGCAGTAATTTTAAAGTAGCTAAATTATTCTACGCCCCAAACTGAAATTATAAATGAGTAAAATGAAAAAGATGTGATATCCATTTTGTTGGAATGTAATTTTAAGTAAAACATCATTGATTTGCCCCACTAGCTAATATGAAGTAATGTGTATGTTGACATTTACAAGAAAGTAGATCTGAAAGAATGTGTTCTAAATTTTTTTTTCCTTTTTTGGAATTTTTTTTTTTTTTTTGCAGTGCTGAGGATGAACCCAGGGCCTCACACATACTAAGCAGGTGCTCTGCTAAGTTTCACCCCAGCTCTGTACTCTAAATTATTCATTTTTTGGGGGTACTGGGAATGGGAGTTGAACCCACGGGTGCTTAACCACTGACATATCCCTAGCCCTTTTTTATTTTTTATTTTTATTTTTTTTTATAAATAAAATCAGTAAACAGATATTTGATTATTAGAAATATGACTCAAAAGAAAGTCTTTTCATTTATAAGCCTATACTATTGCCTAATACCTAAACTGGGTATTTGATTGGCTTAAAGTTCCATGATCCTCCACTTGTTTTACTTTGCCCCTGTATACTCTCTGCACTCTTTTGTAATCTCCAGTAACATTTTCACTGTCTTTTTTTGTTTTCTCCTCATCTTGTTCTCTTCTCCTGCTAATGGCCAAATTCTATTGTTTTCTTTTTTTTATATATAACCTTAAAAACTATAATGAAAGAAAAAATTACCTCTCAAGCATTAACAAAAGCACCTGTAGCCTCTATCTGCTTAGATTCTTTTTTTAAATGATTTTTTATTATCATTACAATTCTTAATACACCATTGTACAATAATTTATCATATATCTGATTATATATAAGGTATGTTGACACCAAACCTTTTTTAATTTTTTATTTTGAAACAGGGTCTTACTAAGTTGCATACGGCTTTGCTAAATTGCTGAGCCTGGCCCAGAACTTGCATCCTCCTGTTAGCCTCCTGAGTTCCTAGTTTATAGACATGAGCTCCTGTGCTTGGCTCAAATTCTTAACTCTGTTCTTTTTCAAGAATAGTATAGATTTCATTTTTTTTTTTTAATATTGAATATTAGGACAAGAGCCCCAGAGAATAAAAAGACGGAGGACAAGTTAAGAACAGTCCTCACAGGAAAAATATTTGATAAAATTTATACCATGTTGATTTGTTTTATCTGAAGATATTAAGAACATAAATGTCAGTATGTCATTAAAGTGGTTTTATTTTATTTTTGGTACTGAGGATTGAGCCCAGGGGTACTTTTACCATTGAGCTACATCCCCAATCTTTTTTGATATTTTACTTTGAGGTAAGGTCTCACTAAATTGCTGAAGCTGGCCTTGAACTTGTGATCCTTCTGCTTCAGCCTCCTTAGTTGCTGAGATTATAGGTGTGTGCAACCATGCCTGGTGATATTAAAGTGATTTTTTTTTTTTCTTGTGATGCTGGGGATTGAATCCAGGGCCTTGTGCATGCAAGGCAAGCGCTCTACGAACTGAGCTATATCCCTAGCCCTTAAAGTGAGTTTTTTTTGGTTTTATCTGTTTTTATTAATGCCATTTTAAAAATATTTTTTAGTTGTAGATGGACACAATGTCTTTATTTTGTTTATTTTTTTATGTGGCGCCAGGATCAAACCCAGTGCCTCACGCATGATCAGCAAGCTCTCTACCGCTGAGCCACAACCCTGGCCCCCATTTTTTTAATATTTATTTTTTAGATATAGGTGGACACAATATCTTATTTTTATGTGGTGCTGAGGATTGAACCCAGTGCCTCATGCATGGTAGGCGAGCGCTCTGTCTCTGAGCCACAACCCCAGCCCCCCAATTTTTTTTTTAATTTATTTATTTGATCTAATTTTACATGACAACAGAATGCATTTCAATTCATAGTACACATATGGAGCACAGTTTTTCATTTCTCTGGTTGTACACAAAGTACAGTCACTCCCTTCATGTCTTTATACACGTACCTAGGGAAAATATGTCCATCTCATTGCACCACCTTTCCTACCTACAAACCCCTCCCTTCCCTCCTCTTTGCCCTATACAAAGTTCCTCCATTTCTCCCATGCTTCCCCCAACCCCATTACAAAGCAGCATCTACTTATCAGAGAAAACATTCGGCCTTTGGTTTTTTGTGATTTGCTTACCTCACTTAACATCATATTCTCCAGCTCCATCCATTTACTTGCAAATGCCATGATTTTATTATCTTTTTAAGACTGAATAATATTTCTTTGTGTATTCATACCACAGTTTCTTTATTCATTCATCTATTGAAGGGCATAAGGTTGGTTCCACAATTTAGCTATTGTGAATTGTGCTGCTATAAACATTGATGTGGCTGCATCACTGTATTATGCTGTTTTTAAGTCCTTTGGGTATAAACGAGGAGTGGGATAGCAGGGTCAAATGATGGTTCCATTCCAAGTTTTCTAAGGAATCTCCATACTGCTTTCCAGATTGGTTGCACCAATTTACAGTCCCACCAGCAATTTAAGAGTGTGCCTTTTCCCCCCACTTTCTTGCCAACACTTACTGTTACCTTATAGTGATTTTTAAAATCATTTGTCACTTGACATGTCGTTTAAAAACGATTTTTAAACCTTAATATTACACTTATTTCAGGTTTTAACTTTTACCTTTTAAAATTATATGTGGAAAAGTTATGTAAAACATATTCTGCAAATTGTATAGGCAGAAATGTGTTCACAAAGGTTTTAAACAGGTTTAAGGATATTTAAAGTGGAGTCAAGTAACTGAACTTGTGATGTTTAGGTCCATTACAATAAAAAGTTTCTCTTTGCATACTTACTACATTTGAGTGTGTATCATGAGTTAGGCCTTCTGAAGTCTTCATTACTAAGGGTGTTATCTTACTTAATCCTCACAACAATCTCATGTGATCAGCCTCTTTTCAGCTTTGTGTGGAAAAGGGAGAGAATTGATCATCTTCCAGGACACACAGGGAGGGTGGAGCTGGGATTTAAACAAAGGCAGCCTTACCGGACAGAGGTGATTAGCCATTACCTACCCTAAATGCTGCTGAGTTAATGATTAATGAATACTTCTAATAATGTGCACACTTTCTCATTGTTGAAAATATCTGCTTGTAAAGGTATCTTTTTTTTAAAAATTTTTTTTAGCTGTAGTGGGACACAATATCTTTATTTTATTAATTTATTTTTATGTGGTGCTGAGGATCCAACCCAGCGCCTCTAGGCGAGCACTCTACCACTGAGCCCCAGCCCCAGCCCCCTTGTTAAAGGTATCTTTAGTTATAAAAGATCCTATGAGGGTCAGGGGTGTTGGGGCAACAGAGAAGATATGAGGAAAAAGATGAGGCGCCCAGATCCCTGTCAGGTACAAGAGGCGGTAGATGCCACTCAAAGATTTCACCTGTTTTTAATTCATGCTTATGTGATGATTGAGTCTAAATAAGAACGATTATTCCAGGTGTTTGACTAACATGAAGGTTTATAAAGGAGATTTGCATTTGTTGAGCACCTCTTGTTTTCAGAACTGTTTGTATACCTTCTGCAAGTAAATACAAGAAGGGAAAAGCAAAAGAAAAGAAAACAAAAAACCATAGTGAAAACAAAAATGCAAATGCAAATCAACTCTCTTTACATCAGTTTGGTTACCATGTTGGAGAAATCTTATATCCCTTCATGGTAGACTAATTATTAAAGTAAAAAAGGAATCCTAGTTCTTTATTCCTTTCATGCCCTCCTTCACAATTCAATTCTCTTGATGGAATATACAGATGGTATTTGATTTGTGTGCTTAAATATTTATGTGACTCCTTTTCTACCAGCTAAAGGAACTCTCAGTGAAGATACTATCAGAGTGTTTCTACATCAGATTGCAGCTGCCATGCGAATCCTGCACAGCAAAGGAATAATCCACAGGGATCTCAAACCGCAGAACATTTTGTTGTCTTACGCCAATCGCAGAAAGTCAAGTGTCAGTGGTATTCGCATCAAAATAGGTAAACAGCTATGTTTTGCTTTATGGAAAGGATGTTTCTGAGACTCAGTATTTTTAGATAATTTTAGTTCAGCTTCTTTTGTCAGTTTTTTGGTGCTCTAGTATAAAAATTACTTGAAGCCATCAGTAAGAGGACATTCAAATTCTGTATCTGGTATTGATATTTAATGAGAGCTATATTAATAAATCATTTATTGTATTAGCATTTTTACTTGAGAAGATTGGTATTCCTTGGTTACACAACTTGTTGAGTAGTGAATTGTACAGTTGATTATAACTACTATTTTTTAGTTTGTTGAAATTGAGATAGCTACTACTTTTCCTTCAGTGGCAGACTTATTCAGTAAGTTCTTTGTTTTTCACAATTCCTGTGTCTTAAAGAATCATATGATATTTGTTAAGAGTGAGCCAAAAGTATCATTTGTTTTTCTGCTTTTTATTTTGTGAAATAGCGGATTTTGGTTTTGCTCGTTACCTACACAGTAATATGATGGCTGCAACGCTGTGTGGATCCCCAATGTACATGGTAAGTAAGTTTGTGCACCATAAGCATTGAAATTTAAATATAATGCTTGTTTCTGAGTAATATTGATTTTTATATATGGTTGAACATTGTTATTTCTATTATTGATGTTAATTATAGTACCAATACTGCAGTTATCTTTTGCTTTAGCATAGTGGGCTATGAAAAAATTAAGTCATTTTTGTCCATTTGCCTTTATTTTTAAATAATTTTTATAATAATAAGAGAGAAACCCTATTAAGTTGAAAATAAAAATTCATTAAGTATAAAGATGCAATAGTTGACATAGTTCTTAGGAATATTTAAAAATACCTCTTCTGCTAATACCATTTTCTCCATGTTTTCTGTCTTGACAAGATCCCTGAACTGTAGACATCCTCACACTTAATGATGAAAATCTTATCTTTTCTCTTTATTCTTTCATGTACCTATTATTATATCTGTTGTAGGCTATGAAACTTCTAAACTAATGGGAAAAACATTTTTTTTTTCTTTTGGTACTGGGAATTTAACTTAGGGCCCCGTATGTATATGCTAGGCAAGTGCTCTATTGCTGAGCTATATGTATAGACCTAATGTGAAATATTAAGTTTAGAAATAACTTAATTCTGGAACTTCAGAATTATGTGACATAAATAAATGTCTGTTCCTGTTCTATATATATAAGATAGGTTTATATTCTTCTAATTGGGCTAGTATGGTATACCCCTATCTCTTTATGAGAAGTGGGAAAAATACCTGTAACAAGTAATAGAGAAAAGCCTTTGCTTGTAAGATTCATTTTATTTTTTTAAATATTTATTTTTTAGTTATAGTTGGACACAATACCTTTATTTTATTTATTTATTTTTATGTGGTGCTGAGGATCGAACCCAGGCCCTCGCACATGGGAGGTGAATACTTTACCGATGAGCCATAACCCCAGCCCGTTAAGATACATTTTGTTATTGTGTTTTACATCATAGTTTTTCTGTAATTAGAAAAGCTTTCAAAATGCAGAAAAAATGTAGGGAAAAATGAAGCATATGCCTGTGAACCTACCATCCATATTTAATGAAGTTAATATTTTGCCATGTTTGGCTTGAGCTTTGTTTAGAAATTAAAATATTTCAGACAACCCAATTACCTTCTCCCTAATCTCATTACCTACATTCCACCTCTCATAACTTTGAGGGAATCTTTGTTCTGTACTATAATTGGTGTGTATTTTTCCTTCTTATTTTAATACTTTTACTGTACTTTGTGTCCATCATAATATGTAGAAATATTTGTTTCTCCTTTTCATGTAGCATTGTTTTTGAGATTTACTAGCAAATCTCAAAACCTCATAATTATGTCGATCTAAATTCATTGCAGTGTCATTTGATTAGAGAAATACCAAAGTGTGTTAGTTTTTTAAGTAGTTACAAGTGTGACCATAGTCAGTCAACTAATACATGCAGTTAATTATGTATTTAACATTCATTCATGTTTCTTCAATTTTTTATATTCAGGCTCCTGAAGTTATTATGTCTCAACATTATGATGCTAAGGCAGACTTGTGGAGCATAGGAACAGTGATATATCAATGCCTAGTTGGAAAACCACCTTTTCAGGTAGCCTGATTTTTTTCTTTATGTCCTCAGTTTTGGAATCTTCTCATTTTGTAGTTGCCTTTGACTTATAAAATGAATACCTTGAAAGCAGTGTTTTTGGATCCTTTGTGACTTACTTTGATTTTGTTCCAGGAAGAAACTGCTATGGTGAGCTAGAACATCTTTTGCTTTTTCATTTATCTGCCTGCCTTTTGTAATTAGACTGGGCATGAAAGCTGTAGGATGTTTTCCAGGCTAGAGAAAACTGGTTGGAGTCTAGCGGTGGTGGGAGGTGGGTGTGAATATTGACAAAAGCACTTTCTGTTTAGTCTGGTTTTGGGGTCCTAGAATCCATGTGAGGATTGGAGCTGATCTGGGAGATCCTTGGAACTCGTATCTCCAACTCTGACAATGCTGGGTGAGAGGGAGTTAATTGTTGAGGTTTTTTTGTAAATTACTTTGGGTTTTTCTTTTTTTTTCCCTACCATCCTGTAAAGAAGTGGCCTTACAGATAATAATTATGATGAATTCTGTTGGGTTCATATTGTGATGTTATAATTTCTTAGTTACAAAGATTTTTAAATCTGAAAACTTGGAACAAAGTGAAATTATTTGCCCAAAATGTTTTAAACAAAATCAGTGAAACCAGGTAAATAATTTCTAATTTTCCAATCTAATTTGTATATAGAGTCAGTTTCACTAATTCTGCAGCTCTTGCTATAAGGATACTATTTATTCCTATGGAGAGATTGGATAGTGCCAATATACGTAGTTCCTTTCCTTGAATTCTTTGAAGGTCCTAAGTTAAATACACTTCTATTTTACACAGTAATAATTTACCTTTTGATTAGACCATGTAACCTCCAGAATAGTAGATTTTTTTGTTTGCTTGTTTGTTTTGGAGTGCTGGGAATCTAACCTAGGACACTGCACATGCTAGGCAGGTGTAATTCCAGAGTTTCATTCCCAGCCCTAGAATAACAATTCTTAACTTTAACAGTTTGTCTTTAGAAAAGGTACAGTATATCCATGTGTAGAATTTGCACAGTTCCTTAATGACTAATCCTTCAGCAATTCAAGGCTTTCAAGTTAAAATTCTAGTTCTCAAGAATACAAATATTGATCATATGATTTGGAAGTTCTACAATCCCCTCCCACATCACCACTTTTGTTAGGAAACTAAGCTCCCCACCCTTCTTTCTTTTAACAGGCCAATAGTCCTCAAGACCTAAGGATGTTTTATGAAAAAAACAGGAGCTTAATGCCTAGGTATGTATTTAGATTACACTGAGTTTTACTCTTTGTGAGCATTGTGTTATTTATTTGAACCCTGGGTGTTTTATGTAGAATTTTACTCTTTGTGAGCATTGTGTTATTTATTTGAACCTTAGGTGTTTTATGTATTTCTGTGAGTGTTTTTTCAACTGACAGTGATGTTATGGCAGGAAATTAGAAAATTGCTAACACAGTGGAGGTACTTATATAGTGATGGACCATTTTATTTTTTGTTTTTTAAATATAAAGTAAATTTAAGATAAAAAATTACAGAAGTTTTAAATGTGTTCTTTGTGGGGAGGCAGACAGAATAAATGTGCATAAAGTAGAAAGTAAATTCCTGTCTATGTTTTACCCTGTTCCGTAGGATTAACAAGAGTTTGCTCTGAGTCTTTCCGAATCTTTTATGTGGGAGTTTTTTTATACATGTTTGCTCATTTATGAGTATGTTCACACATACACATATAGTTCAAGACAAGTTACACTGTATTTTATGAATTGTTCTGAAACTTAACTTTAGTATTTCTTACTGTATACATTAGTATATACATTCAATGATAGTTTATAGAGAGATACTGCATCCTTTTGAATGGCAATCTAGAGTCCTATAGTTAGGTGTTCCATATTTTATTTAACCAGGTCCTTGTTGTTTTCATTTTTTGGTTGCTACAAGCACGCTTTAGTGAATGTGTGTGTGTGTGTGTGTGTGTTTTTGTGTGTGTGTGTGTGTGTGTGGTGTGCACTTGTATGTACACAATATCATTGTGCATTTCTTTAGGATGGATTCCTAGAAATAGAATTATTGGACTGAAAGATATGCTTTCCAAATAGGCTGTCCCAGATGAAATAGCCATGTAAACTTTTTTCCACACATTTTTTAAAATTATTAAAAAAAGTTTTTTTTTTGTAGTTGTAGCTGGATATCATGCCTTTATTTTGTTTATTTTTTATGTGGTGCTAAGGATCAAACCCAGTGCCTCACACGTGCTAGGCAAGCCCACTGCCACTGAGCCCCAGCCCCAGCCCCTTTCCTCACATTTTTACCAACATGTAATGTTGAATTTCCAGACTTGATGCCTCATAAATGGAGTAGGACCAAGTAGATGTTAAATTTATTTTATTTGCATTATTCTCTTCATTAGTGAAATTGGCTGTTTTTCTTTTCCTTTTGATGTTGGGTATTGAACCCAGAGCCCCTTGCAAGCTAGGCAAGTGCTCTACCTCTGAATTATACCTCCAGCAAAGCTAGCTATCTTTTTTTTTATTTGCCTTAATATTCTTTTGTGGTTTTTATTTCATTATTGCTATATTACTGTTACTCATTTTCCATTGCTTTGCCATTTTTATATTAAAGAATTATATTCTTTTTAAAAAAATATTTTTTAATTGGGCACAATATCTTTATTTATTTATTTTTATGTGGTGCTGAGGATCGAACCCAGGGCCTCGAATGTGCAGGGGAGCACTCTATCGCTGAGCCCCAAACCCAGCCCCAAATATATTATATTCTTACTTGAACTTATTTAAGCTCTACCCCTTTCCAGACAAAACTGGATGTGGCTCTTTTTCTAATAGAGAGCTTCATAGTAACTATTTGTGCAAGTTGATTTAAAAACTCAGAGATGTTTGTGTTGTGCTTCTGGAGTGCTTTATTCTTGTAAATTGTAAATTCTCTAAACCAATAACAATAATAGTCACAATTGATGTTGTTTTTCAAGGGCTATTGTAATGCTCTACCCTCTCCCACCAAAATATTATGCTTTGCTGTGGTCTTTTTGTATTTGTGAAACTGCATATACATTTTCCATATTTGCCATCATGAAGGCAAAAATAATGTATTTAATATAAATAAACTTACCACTTAGGTTGTTTTTTTCCTTTTCCCCAGTATTCCTAGAGAAACATCACCTTATTTGGCTAGTCTCCTTTTGGGTTTGCTTCAGAGAAACCAAAAAGACAGAATGGATTTTGGTAAGTAATAGTTTCAAATTTTGTGTGCTTTCTAATTTTACTTTTATATACTCTGAAGAGATTGAAAGTTGATACTATAAAGATGTCAGAAGAAAATTACAGTTAATTAATTAATTTATTTTCTCTTTTTTTTTTATTAGTTGTTCAAAACATTACAAAGCTCTTGACATATCATGTTTCATACATTTGATTCAAGTGGGTTATGAACTCCCATTTTTACCCCGTATACAGATTACAGAATCACATCGGTTACACATCCACGTTTTTACATACTGCCATACTAGTGTCTGTTGTATTCTGCAAATTACAGTTAATTTAAATTTTCTTTTTTTATCATTTTATTATTCTGCCCTTCTTTATTTTCTTTCACTAATTTTGTAGATATTTATTGAGTCCTTATTATAATCTAGGTACTGAGATAAACAAATTAAAGAAAATTCCTGTCCTCATTAGAATATATTCTATTGGGGGCAGGAGACAAACAAATTATAGACTATAATTGCATACTATAAAGGTACAAGGTACTATGAGAATAATAGGGATAGAGGATTGAAATTTTAAGGTCAGAAGTAAGGTCTTTACTGAGAAAGTGGCATTAAAATGATTTGATCAACTTGAAATGAGTGTGAGCTATGAGGATAGGTATGGGAAGAGCTGTTCAGCAGAGTGAATAGCCCGTTCAAAGTTTCAGAGTAGAGAGAGAGCATGCATGGAAGTTTGAGGAACGACTAGAAAGCGGCTAAAGACGACGGAGCCATTGGAAGGTTTTGAGTTGAGGGAAATTGATCTGACTAATGTTTTTAAAAGGATAAATCTGGCTGCTTCTTGAGCATGGACTGTGTATGAGGAGGCGGTCAGAGGCTGGGAGACTCTTCAGGACATTCTTGGTTACCCAAGTGAGACAAAATGGAGCTTAGGCTGGTATAATAGCAGTGGAGGTTGTGAGAAGAAGCTGGGTTCTTGAGTTTTTCTGAGGGCAGAGGCAACAGTGTTTACTGAGGGCTTGAATGTGGGGTGTGAAACAAAGAAAATATTCAGCAACAACTCTGAGGATTTTGGCCAGAGCAGCTGTAAGGGTGGAGTTGTTAGTTATAGAGTTAGGGAAGATTATGGGTAGGGCAAGACTATGAGGACCAGAAGAGTGGTTCCAGCTGGATATGTCACATTTAAGATAATCATTAGATATCTAAGTGCAGCTGTCAGAAGCCACTTGAATTACGGAGGAAAGATTAGGGGTTTATTTTTGAGAGTTGTCAGCTGATGGGGTGATATATATTAAACATTGATTTCTAGTATAGCGTTTAAGTTCCTTTATTGATTCTTTTTTTGAATGCTGTTGAGTCATGGTTGCTTTATCGATTACAGTATGCATTGTAAGTTAGCATAGTCTATTTCATATAAATACTAGCTGAATCCCAGTAAATATTAAAACTTTGTTTTTCTGATATTGCTCCATTCCTTCCTCCCTTTATTCTGTAATTATCACATATGTCACATCTATGTTATAATCTCAACAGTGTGGTATTATAGCTATTGCTTTATATAGTTTTATGTCTTTTTCAGAAGTTAAGGGAAGAAAGAAAAAAAATAGTGAAAAATCTGTATATCTATCATTCTTGGTATTCTTCATTTCTTCTTGTGGATTCAGATTACTGTTTAGTATCACTTTTTGGCTCCAGCATAATTCCATTCCTTCTTGCCTGTCTCCTTTGTGCTATCATTGATTAATGTCTGTTTAAAGATTATATTCTCATTTTTCCTTGCAGAAGCATTTTTTAGCCATCCTTTTCTAGAGCAGGTTCCAGTAAAAAAATGTGAGTACTCTTTGTTTTTTCATTTTTTACTTAAAGAGTGAATGTAAGCTAATAAAAAAATTAGTATTGTATATTACAAAATAACAGTTGTTTTTCTATCCATATCCAAGTTGAAAAAAATCTAATAATTTTTAGTTGCCTCCATGGCAGCTTACTAATTAAGTAAGTAGTTGAATGCAAATTTTTGATTAACACAAAGATGTAGTAATTTTGACAGCTTATTCTATTAGGCAGGGCTTGTAATGTACTATAGTATGATATAGCTCTTTGGCTGTGTTTATTCCCCAGCTTGCCCAGTCCCAGTGCCTGTGTATGCTGGTTCTGTCCCTGGAAACTCCTGTGGCAGCTCTCCATCTTGTCGCTTTGCTTCTCCACCAGTAAGTTCCCATTTTATTAGAAATAATTCCAGAATTAGTGCTATTGCATTTATTCACAAATGGACCTTGCTCTGGAGGCTCTTTTTTTTTTTATTAGTGTTTACTAATTAAGCTAAGTTTAAGAGAAAGTGTTAGAATTGGATCAAGTAGACCTATTTTTGAACTTCTTTCCTTTCTTCACTGTGTAGCTTCAGCAAAAAATATTACCTCTCTGGGCCATTTCCTCTGAACACTGAGCACAGTACTACCACCTTTTTATACTCTATAGGATTTTGATGATGATACTTGCAAACAAAGACTACCCATTACAGGTGAATAAGCAATAAATATTTGTTTTACCTGCATACTATAAATGTTGGGATTATATAGGATTTCTAGTGTGGAGTAGTGACTTTGGAGTCATATTTTTATTGGTTTGATTGTGATTACTGACCCCTTAAAGTTTCTTCTCAAACCTCTTTTCTTCTTCTGAAGTTCCCAAGCCATTTCTTCCATGACTCTGTTCCCTCCGTTTAAGTACTTTCTCCTGATCCTCAGCACATCTGATCACTCTGGTCACCACTTCTTATTTATTTATTTTTATTGATTTAAAAAAAAAAATGACAGTGGAATCCATTACAACTCTTATTACACATATACAGCACAATTTTTCATATCTCTGGTTGTATATAAAGTGTGTTGACAACAATTCGTGTCTTCATACATGTACTTTGGATAATGATGTCATCACATTCCACCATTCTTGCTAATCCCCTGCCCAATCCCTTTCCCTCCCTCCCTTCTGCCCTATCTAGAATTCATCTATTCCTCTCATGCAACCCCCCTCTCTGCCCCACTATGAGTCAGCCTCCTTATATCAGAAAAAACATTGTTTTTTTGGGATTGGCTAACTTCACTTAGCAGCTATCTTCTCCAACACCATCCATTTACTTGCAAATGCCATGATTTTATTCTTTTTTATTGCTGAGTAATATTCCATTGTGTATTTATGCCACATTTTTTTTATCCATTCATTCACTGAAGGGCATCTGGGTTGACTCCACAGTTTAGCTATTGTGAATTGTGCTTCTGTAAACATTGTTGTGGCTATGTCCCTGTAGTATGCTATATGCTGTCACCACTTCTTACTGTACTCTCCTAGGGTGTTATTTTATTTTTTAAAAATATTTTTAGTTGTAGCTGGACATAATACCTTTATTTTACTTATTTATTTTTCTGTGTTGCTGAGGATCAAACCAGTGTTCTAGGCAAATGCTCTACTACAGAACTACAACTCTACCCTCTCCTAGAGTTTTACTTAGCTCTCTTATGTTCTTTTTTTTTTTTTAATTGACCCTGCCCCCAAATCTGTGTTGCAGCCTGTGACCTTGAGACTTTTACACAGCTGAAGGTCCAAGGCTCTGTGTCAGCTATTGTTAATATTTTTCAGGTTAGCCTGACAGACATGAATTTCTTGAATTCTGTTGGCAGAATGGTGGAGAAGCCATAAAAGGAAGTAATTTTGTGGCTAGACAGTTGAGACAACTCAGGTTTAAGAGCATGGAGTTTGGGAGTTCCTACTTGGCATAGTAACTAGGACAAGGACCTTAATTTCTCTGAGCCCTCCTCGTATGCGAAACGAGTATGATTTACTTCCTTAATAGGATTCTTTAAGGATAAACAGGCTTAAGCCCTTACTACAGTGTATAGTACACAGTAAGTACTCAAGCAGTGATGACAGCTGTTATTATTTTTCAGCGAAATCTAGTAGTTCCTAGTTAAAGCAGATGGGAAAGTAACCTATTGCTAACAGACAAATCTTGAAACTGGCAAAAACCTTTCTTGTAGAACCCTGTAAATCCAAACCAAAAGTGGATGTATTTGTAAGACTTACTTTATATTCCTGTGAAGGTGAAAAATTAAGAGAGGAGAAAGAACTTTGTATATTTCCTATGTCAGTCTGGAATATTTGAAGAACACAAGAAAAACAAAAAAAGCTACTCTGGATTTGGAGCTTGTCAGGGAGAAAGGTAGAGGAAGTGTATTGACATACAAAACTTTATCTGGAGCCTGGTAGACTGGCCTCATCCTGGCCCCACTACTTTCTCACTGGTAACTTTGAGCTGGCCACTTAGAGAACTGAGTCTGGTTGTTCTCCTGTGGAACTAGGTCTGGTTAACCTTTGCTTGCAGGTTTTTTGTTTGTTTGTTTATTTAATTCATTAATTAATTTGCTTTCCATATTATGTATTACATTATGTCAAATATATACTTTATAATAAAACTTAAAATTACTATGGGGTAGGCCCTTTTCACATATAACCACCACCATTAAGGGTTTTTAAAAAAATTTAATTGGGTGACAGTAGGTAAGTAAGTCAGTCATGTGTATGTGTAAATTATACATATAAAAATTACATGTATAAATGCATTTACATACATACATAGTATATACATACAGAGCAAGGGGTTGGGCATAGTGGTACATGCCTGTAATCCTAGCTATTTGAGAAGCTGAGGCAGGAGGACCATAGATTGGAGGCCAGCCTGAGCAACTTAGTGAGACCCTGTCTCAAAAAATAAAAGGGGATGTAGCTCAGTGGTAGAGTGCCTCTGGGTTCAGTCCCCAGTACCACCAATGAATAGATAGATAGATAGATAGATAGATAAAATAGATAAATAAAAAAAAAAAAAACTAGGGACATTGCTCAGTGGCAGAGCACTTGCCTAGCATGCATGAGACCCTGGGTCCAATTCCCAATTCCTTATTCCCACAGGCAATTGAGGTATATAAACCTCAATTGCCTGTGGGAATAAGGATTAGGGGCATCATAATCAGACTGAGGATTCAGAAGGGCTTATCTAAAGAGAGTATTGTTTGAGCTGAGTTTTTAATGAATGAGTTAACAAAAAGATGGTATAAAAGAACCCCCCATATAAGAAGTGATAGAAATGTGAACCACTGAAGGAACTCTACCTCTCCTTGGGGACTTGCTTTTAAATTTGTTAGAATTTAAAATAGTCACACCAGCACCATGTGAAGTACTTGATAGTTGAAGTTGGGGAGAGACTAGTCAATAGGATAAAGATACAAAGTAAGGACTGAAGGGTGGGAGAGCCCTGAGAAGTTCTGTATTTTTCTTCTGGTTTTCAAGAGACAAATGAGAAAATGTACTCACAAAAAAGACAAAGAGGGCTGTGGCTGTAGCTCAGTGGTAGAGCTCTTGCCTCGCACGGATGAGGTTCTGGGTTTGATCCTCAGCACCAAGTAAAAATAAATAAATAAATAAATAGAGACAAAGGAGGGGTCTCCATGAAGTAGGAGGAAAAATAATAAGAGCGGGGCCATGGGGTGAGGGGGAAGAACGTTAAGTACTTTTGTGGTGAAGTATTGACAGTATTTGTAAGCTTAATAAAGACAGTTTTATTGGAGAGTTGAAGACAAAAAATGGATTATGGTAGATTAAGGGATATATAAGCATTAAGGAATTTGAGTCAGTAAAAATAACTTCAAGAAATATCGTTAAGAAAAACAGAGGGCTGGGGCTGTAGCTTATGATAGAGTACTTGTCTAGCGTAAGTGGTAAGTGTGGTCCCAGGTTCAATTCCCAGTATCTATTTATCTATCTTTCTCTCTCCCCCCTTTCTCTCTCTCTCTCTCTCTCTCTCTCTCACACACACACACACACACACACACACACACACACACACACACAACACACAAAACAACAACAACAATAACAACAACAAAAGGAAAGGTTGGAATAAGGATTAGGGGCATTATAATCAGACTGAGGATTCAGGAGGGCTTGTCTAAAGAGAGTATTGTTTGAGCTGAGTTTTTAATGAATGAATTAGCAAAAAGATGGTATAATAGACAGGAACCCCCCATATAAGAAGTGATAGAAATGTGAACCAATGAAGGAACTCTAGCTCTCCTTGGGGACTTGTATTTGAGATGTGAGAAAATTAAACATATTTATGTGTAGAGGTACAAAAAGCCAGAATCAACAGAGGGTGAAAATGTCAGGAGCTGATCTGTGTCCTTGGGGAGTTAGTATGGGTGGTGGAATGAGGAGCAAGACCAGGTGGAAAGATTAGTTTTGAATAAAAGGGAAGCATCTCTTCTGTGAATATGAGAAATGAGAGGACCATTTGTAGATGTAGATACTTTCATTAATAGCAGGGAAAGAAATTGAGAAAGTTCTTGCTTAACCCACTGTCAAGAAATTGTGGAGTTTGATACTTGCATTCACATCTCAACTCGACTGCCTTTTAGTTATATGGTCTCAGGAAAATTACTTAACCATCTGAGGTTTTGTTTAGTTAGATGCAAAAGGGAGTTCAGAATAAGGCTGGAGTTAGATAACAAGTGGAAAGCTTTGAACTCCTCTTGCCTTTTCTTATTACCTTCAGATATAAAGTCTTCAAAAAGATTTTACGTATGTCACATACAGAAAAGGAAGTAATAAGGTGCTTTGAGACTGATTTCATTGCATGGTGATATTCAGAGGAGCAGCAGGAGTAAATTGGGCATTTAAAGCTTGATGTTAACAGCATGATGTAGTGCAAATTCAATTTTTTAGAAAACCATTGTATAATCAAGACATTCAGAGCTATCACGAGAGAACTTGATTGAGGCAATTGCTGAAAAGTACATAGCTAGTGATACCTAAGTATTTGCTTAAATTGATTTTCTTCTCTTCCTGACCTGTCTTCCACAAACTACCTCACCTCATAACAAAATACAAACAAAAGTAACATACCCACACCTGTAAAGTTTTCCAATATTTTTTTCTGTGAGTGTAAAGTCTAACATAGTTACCCTTATTGACCTATCTATTTTATCTTACATAATATATTAGTCTTTCACTTCCTGTTTATAATGTTTTCTTCATGGTAGATTTAAAACTTGTTTTTGTTTGCAAGATATGATTAATTTAAAATCCCTGGACATTTTGTATTATTAAGTGAATAGTTACTGAGTATCTGCTTTGCTGGGCCACAAGCTTGGGCAGGAGATATTTCAGTGATTAAAAATTCACCTCGAAGGCTTCACAAGAGGCAGATAGATAGGTACATGTGATAAGTTGTATTTTTAAGTATCATTTTTTGAAAATATTTTAGAAGTCTTTATGGCAATACTTCTAAACTGTGCTTTTCTAAAAGAAAAACTTTCCAGAGAGATTTTTTTTTTTTTTTATTAAATCTTAGGTTGAATTCAACTTTGTGCCCCATTTCATGAAGAAAAAAAAAAATTCCTTAGTCTAATGGCTGTTCTGACTTGCATTTGATTATTAGGCCAGTTTTAATTTTATGTTGTTAATTTTAGTCCCTTCCAGATATGCAGCATATTCAGGAAGAAAACTTATCCTCCCCACCATTGGGTCCTCCCAACTATCTACAAGTGTCTAAAGATTCTGCCAGTACTAGTAGCAAGAACTCTTCTTGTGACACGGATGACTTTGTTTTGGTACCACACAACATCTCGTCAGACCACTCATGTGAGAATCTTTCTACTTGTACACATTATATTTCTTAATTTGCTAAATTAGCATTTTTTAATCTACTTTCTTGTGTAGGACACCTTTTCAAATGGGCATTTTATTTAGTTGTTTGAGTTCTTAGAATTACTCACTTGCCTTTCTAAGATCTGTTCAGTCATCTATAAAACAATTTTGGATGCTGAAGTTACATGAAAGTTTTATAAGAAATTATCTCAAATTTTGTATCCAAACAGAAAAAAAGAGAGAAACCATCATAATAAGTAAAATTAACTTTAAGGGAAGGAATTAAAGGAATAACTCATTTAAGAACAAAACCTAAGATTGGAGTCTTTTAGGAAATATATTCAGGAATAAGTTCAGGAACAAGCTTCATAAATATATAGAAAGAATTTTTTATAAAGGAACTAGAACGCAGATTTATACTATAACTAAGTATAGCCAATGTTCTTTGGAATAGTAAAGTGTGCCAGAAAATCTACAAGAGAGAGAAATTAGACAAAAGTGTTAGATGAAAACCATGATTTGAATATGAAAGAATAGATCAGAGAAGCCAGAAGATCTGGTTCCTTTAGCAGTTGAGTAGTACTAAGTACTAACTATATGCAGAAGTTTGCATCAAGAGGTTTATTTTGTTGTTTGTCAAATACTTATTTCATAGGTATTGCCAGGTGTTGTGTACATCATTGCAAAGGTCAAAATCCCCAGATTAACTAAAGGATTTTATTACCCAGGGAGGGAAAACATGGACCACAGCAAGCGTATGTACAATTTATAGTCAGAGCTGTGAGAATCATAAGTTACCCTTAAAAATCATTCACTACAGTGGTTTGATTTCTTTACAAAAATTTAAAAAACTTTTAAAATTACGAAATATTTTAAACAGAAAATAATACTCAAGTTACCTCCCCCATGCTATGCTGCTTTTTAAAAAAATATTTACTTTTTAGTTGTAGTTGAACACAATACCTTTATTTTACTTATTTGTATGTAGTGTTAAGGATTGAACCCAGTGCCTCACAGATGCTAGACGAACATTCTGTGGCTGAGCCACAACCCCAGCCCCCTATGCTGCTTTTTATACATGTCAACATTTTGCCATATTTGTTTTAAATGTTTTCCCTAAAGGTATAAAAATTCTATAGGAACATTCACATTTTCTTCTTTCTATTTTTTTCTAGACAGATATTCTTCCTATAGATATTTTTTCCTTTAATACGTATTCATATATAATAGATAGTATTTTAATCTTTTCATAGTTTTAAATAAATGGTTTATAGAATGCTTACTTCTCTAGTTTGCTTTTTCCTGTTTTTATTATAGATCTGGATACATACTGTTTGTGTTTTGTTCATATTTGAATCTTATAGCACAACTAAAGCCCAGATTGCCCATTTCCTTACTGATTTATATTAGATTATTTCTGCCATTTCACTGTTTAAATTGTACTCTAATAGGTGTCCTTGTATACATGTGCCAGAATTTCTTCTAAGTAGATACACTAGATGGGGACAACTTCCAACTCTATAAAATATTGGTACAAACAAATTGTACCAGTGGCCTTTATCCTGCTGCTCCAATGTTAGAATGGTATTCTCCTGTATTTCCTTCTGAAGGTTTTTAGTTTTTTTTCATATTTAACTTTACCTGGAATTCATTTTTGTAAATAGAGTAAGGTGTAGGGATCTGTAATTATATCAGTATTATTTATTGAATGTTCTATCTTTCTTCCACTGATAATGCAGTGACAGAGTTGTCATTTCAGGTTTAAATATAGGATTGGATTTCTTTTGAGATTCTCCATTCTATTGCATTGGTCTATTTGTATTATTTTATAATAATTTTTATATTTGTGTGTCAAGCATATGTGTGATCTGGAAATGGTGGTAGGGAGTGATAGTATTGTTAAGAATCACTCTGGCAATCGGCTTTTCTCAGTATCAGCTTCCATAAAAAAATGCCTTAAAAAACCATTTTGGGATTTTGATGGGAATTGCATTGATTCAATAGACTTGTTCAAGGATAGTTAGGATTTTTACAGTGTTAAATTATCATGAAGATGTTTGTGTCTCCATTATTTAAGTTTCTTTAATTTTTTTAATGCTTTTTTTAAAAATTAAATTTGTTTATTTTAATTAGGTATATATATGACACAGAATGCATTTTGATTCATTGTACACAATTGTAGCACAACATTTCACTTCTCTGTACATGATGAAGCGTCGCACCATGTTATGTGCTCTTTAATGTTTTCTGATACATCATTTTATGTGTTCCTATATGAAAGTATTTAATTTTTAATTTATTTTTTGTGCTAGTGTTACTAGAGTCTTAGGCTAAAGAGCTGACTCTAATGAGGATTTAGGGTCCGCAAAACACAGGTCTGGCCTGTTTGCCCCAAACAAACAATAGTAATAGTGAAAGAAAAGCAACTTTAATCACTGTAGCCATACCAGCAAGACTTGTGGATGAGTTGAAGCCTTTCCCACTTCTAACAAGAGGGCCTCTACTGTAGTTGATCTGTTGCTTACTCACGTAAATCCGCTTCTATCCATTCAGACAATGGCCCAGAATTCACTTCCCAGATAACTCAGGGACTGGCTCATGCGCTATCACTCCCGTGGCATTTGCATTGCCCTTACCACCCCCAGGCTTCTGAAAAAGTTGAAAGGACCAATCGGTACCTTAAAGAGACCCTCATAAAGCTCACCATGGAATTAAGTGCCGCAGTCTGGCTGGGCACAAATAACCCAGCCGCCACAAAGCCTTGTAGGTTCAAACAGCAACTCTTTATTCCCAAACTCTCACTGGCACTCTACACGCTCTTCGCGGTAACACACTCCCTCCACTGGGCTCCGTGTGCCAATTTTCCTGGAACCCCGCGAGAACTCAACGGGAACTCCAAAGTAGTAGGGGTGGTGGTGGTGGTGGTGGTGGGATGGGGGGGTGGGTGCCCGAGGATCCACCCTAATCCCAAAGCAGGGTCACTTTTCAACCATTCTCTCTGGTTAAAATGCCAGGCATCATTCTGACTAAACTGTGGCTCTCAACATCTCCCCCCTTCTGTTTAATTAAACAACAAGCATGTGGCTTAGGGACCGTGCCTAACTTAGGTTGTCCAATACTACATATGGTCCTTACCTGTCATCGGATGAGCTGACCTCAAGTAGTCAGCCTCCTGTCTTAGGTTGGTACCATTGTAATTGGATCTTACCTGTCATTGGCTACCGGTCCAGCGTACAGCCATGCTTGTGGATAGGCCTTTGCATCAGTGGGGGGGTGAGGTTCTTTGCCTCACCTCTATTGGCCCCCAAATTTTAGACCATCACAAGCAGAAAGGGAGGAGGATGCAAAATGCCACGGCACCAAGCCAAATGACGGCTCTTATTGGAAAAATTGTACCACCGATGACACCATCAGCAAAGATACCCCAGCAATACCACAATTCACTGCACCAAAAGATAGTTCACAATGCATGCAAGTGATACATAGTCCAGGCAAGTTCTGCAAGCAGTTCAAAGCAGAGGAATGTATTAATATGTCCATTTCCTCCCAAAGTAAATCGACTCCTTGATTGAGCATCACTTGCTGAGTTATTATTCATTGATGCATCAGTTTATACAGTTTACTGTGATAGCTTTCGAAGAAGCTGTAGCTTAGTTTTATCTTTGTCTTCACTGGCACTGGGATGAAGATAGGAATTCTGGCAATGATGGCTTAAAAAAAAATTATGTAACATTCCAGCAGGCACTAAGAAAACAATTTTCTGAACAATTTACATTATCCTGAACAGAATTATTAAATATAATGAAAAGGAAAGGTAAAAGTAAACAAACAGATCTGTTAACCTTCTTTTTTGTTCACATAGTAAAATAATCCTCAACAGTTGTTTACCCAATTTAAATTAAACCATTTAAATCACATGAATAAAAAAAAATTCAGATCCATTTTTTCATGAGCACTCCTCATATATATGGACATATGCACATACAGACATACAACACAAAACAGAAGTGTGCACACATAACACAATACATACAACACATAACATAATAGTAAAGGCCTTGTAGCTTTTCACAGGTGAAGTCTCCACTGCAATGTTTAAAAACTCCATAGTCAAAAAATAGAACTGATCAGCAAAATATTAACCTAGGTCTGTATGAGCTCAAAAAATAAAATAGAACTTCATGATGTGGGAAAAGGCAATAATAAAATAGATATTGAAAAAAAAGCATCCTGGTTACCACCTGGGTTTGACTCTTCTTATGATATCCCATCCTTCTTCCTGTAACTTGCATATGAATCTGAAGGTATTCCCACAAGTAAGCCTCAAGGTTTCTTACATTTGAAATAGGCCTTAATGGTGTTCATTATTCATTAGTTTCCAGGTGTGGGAGAATCACTGTCGAAGATGTAAGAATAGCCAAGCTGGAGTTCTGAATATCAGCTGTTATGGATTTGACCAAATCATCTTCTTTTTAGTCTGTAGAAATCTCGTTAGTTAATCTCTGTGGAATCCAAATCGGCTGCTGTTCTCCCTGTGGAAACACACAAACAAACCCCCGACTCCAGCCAATCACTGGTTCAGGACCTGTCCTGTTAGAATATCCTTCCAAAGTACCTTGGGTTTATGTACATTTTTTGGACACATGTGCCTTTCTGAAGCACTAAGCCCTAATGAATCCAAATATAAAAAGTTTAGAGTAAAAAGGGTTATTTTAAGTTTATCTTTGGGGGATATATACCCCTTTCCAATTCCCACTTTTTGTTTTAATAAGTACATTTTAATAGTTTGATGAGCTCTTTCAACTATGCTTTTTCCCTGTGGATTGTATGGGATTCCTGTTAAGTAAAACATTAACTGATTTTTCTTCAGGGATGATGTTTCAAAATATCCTATATGCATCCTTTGGAAATTTGAAGATCCTTTTAAATTCAAGTCTTCCAAAAGCATTTTGGTTTAGTTTTTAGAATTACTTTAGTCCTTTTAATTTTTTGAT